AATTACTATCGCGCACGCCCCGCTCCCCGTGCATGGAGTCCGGTCCTGCCACCCACCATAAGTGTTCCCATGCCGCCCCCTGTACTCGTACCAATTTTAAACACTCTAGGTCCACGGGGACAGGAGTTATGGATTTCCGGTCAGACACACACAAACACACCGACACACCAACAGACACACTTAGCGAATTATATAAAGTAGGATACCTAATAGATTGTAGTTAACGAGGATAGTGAAAGCGCAGCTTTGAACCTTTACAAAAATGAAATCAAGTTTGCAATTCAGCTGGTAGGAAAACAATTCCGTATCAAACCTGGACAGCTGACGAGGTGCCCGTATTCTGACTATGAAGAAATAATTCGAAATGTTGAAGTGAGTTCTTGAATTCAGTGATAAGTGTTGAACGAAACTACGAAGATGTGTTCAAGATGTGTTAGATGTTATGTACTTTTCTCGGCAGAGCGCATTTCGCAAACATTCCTCTTATCAGGGTAATTTTGTACATGCTTCACAACAAAAATGGTTTGCAGGGTCTCAAAAACGGCTAAGCAGACGTCCACACCAGACGCTCAAAAACTCAGGCATTTCGTCGGGGCTACAGAGGTTGTACTATTCACACTAGGACGCAGACGTTGCACGCAGGCAGCTTCTGCAGCCAGTCGTAGGCAATAGCACACTTTGCGTACAGCTCGTCCAAGCACTCCTTTCACGCCACTTTCTTCGTTACGTTCTCGTCCACCCCGATACTTGTCCTCTCTTTTGAGCTTTTTATTTCTCTAAAAACGTCAAATCTCGTGTTCTTTTCGCCACTATCACACTATTTTCACCCTTCGTTCCCACTGTTTGCTTTAATCTATGTACAACAGAATTATAGTGAACTCTGCCTTCAACATGAACATTCCTATTCCACGGAAGCTCCATAAAATCACATCGCTATATCTTTTAGGAGACGCCTGTGCTGCAAGCTATTTTTCGCCCTACTATACCTTGATATACTCATAGTTTTGAGGAGAGATCTTCTCACAAGTACATGGTCGATTCACTTTGTCTTCCTACTGCACTAGGCTATCTTCTGAGTCTCCCCTTTCAAAAATGGGGGCACTGCAGTCTGCTAGGCCGTGGACTGTTGTCAGGACAAGAATCTGCGCTCATTTTTCGTTTTGGATCACTGTTCCTCATCCTCTATGAAAGCTTTTTAGGCATCTCCCTATATTTCTAACGTTTCCATATAGATTACCCGCTATTTTGCGGTGCGATTTATAGTACCGCACATTCGCGCCTATGCAAACACCCACGATTCAGCGGTGTCAGAATCCTTGAGAAACTCGATCAGTACTGTGGCTACACGTTCTTGTTAAATGTCTTAATTGTCGTAGTAGGCCTCGACATCATTTGAGCTAAAATTTGCCTGGTTTTTGCTCTTCTTCAGCAGGCTTCCTGAGGGCATAGGAGTTCGATCTTGCCTCATTTTATGAATCAGAAACCTTTTACAACTCTCTAAGCCCCTTAATAAACGATTCAATGTGCAGAGTTCCAATTCGGAGCAACTTCTGCTGAGTCAGTTCATTCCTCGGTAGTATCGGTTTTGCCACGAGTGCATGCATGAGTCTACACTCTTAACCACTCGGCTACCCTGTCAACATTTGAAGGCCAACTACATAATACTCATCCGAATGATTTTGAAATATAGGGGTATGGAGGGCGAAGGTGCGTGCCTAATTTGTTTATTTGTTCATACGCTACATAAGGTAGTCGTGAGAAATAAACAACAACACGCTATAAAACCTCATACAACTATATAAAACTCAGCAATTCTTTCTTTACGACTCGCTTAAAGTGCACATATGCAGGGGAGAGAAGTACTTCTTGCGATTTCAAAGATATGAATATAAAGTCTGCTCTACTGTTGAAACTGTGGAGCTTCAAGTTGGTTCGAGGCGTTGCGTATGAAATTTTCACGGAGCTGCCTCTGGTCCTTGTAACATTTCTAGTGAAGAACGTCGACTCATCAACTTCAGCAATCTCAGTCAATAGCTTAAATACCATAAAAACATAATATACCTTCCTTCGTGATTTTAGGCTATGAAGCTTGAACTTTTGGTTCCTAGACGCTGGGTGAGGCTCATCCGAAAAAACGGCCTTCCCTGCCCTAATGCATAACTTCCGGGTATAATTATCCTGAATTTTTCCAGTAAATCCACGTCTTTCTTTATCCAAGGGCAAAAAGCCGATGCAGATGCAGCGTTTTCCACGATGGGCCGCACATATGTCTTGTACGCCTTAATTAAGACTTTTCATCCTTCACTGTCAAGCCCTCGAAATTTCGATAGGTTCGAAAAGCAGCTTTCGTGACGATAGCCTCATAGTGGTCAGAAAAACTGAGCTTACTATAGTAATGGAAGCCAAGATCCCTGACAGCGAGGACCTTATTCAGACAATGCTCACGGAGTTTGTAGGCTCTCGGCAATGTAGAGCCACAAATCCTCATGAACACTGTCTTTTCAGGAGCCAGAAGTAAACACCATAAATCGGACCACTTCAAGATGGAATCTAAAAAACATCGAATACTGCTTATGTCTTCAATGCTCTCCACTTTCCTATAGACTTTAACGTCGTCCGCAAACTGCTTGCATACCTCCCCACATCCCTTTAGAAGCTCCGGCAGCCCAACAGTGTAAATAGTGAATAGAATAGGCGATAAAGTGCTTCCTTGCAGAACTCCGCTTCTATTGCTTGCTGCGTTTGCTATATGCATGCTACACCGCAAAATTCGAATTGACCAAAAAGACAAAGAAAAAGACGATAACAATAATCTTTTCAGTGCTTTACATTACGTACAGCGCTCGGCAATTTGATAGTAGCCGTGAAGTGCTCCCCGCGAACTCCAGGCACGGAAGAAAAGATTAAAGATATGGTATGTAGGTGCCTTCAGTATTCGGATAAGGTTTTAGCGTTATAGTTACAGCTCGCTTCAAGTCTGATTCCAGCACTACCTGTTTCGTATGATTAGAAACCGACATTTTCAGTCGTGTAATAAAACTAGAGAAGTCTTTATTCATTAGAAATTATCATTATCAGAATTTATTCGTCCTCGAGTAATAGATTGTTTTATTACTGCACGGATGACCTTCACTGTGGGTTCGCAAACAGTGGATAATTTCTGTACGGTAGGCTACATGGCGATTCCATGTGGGCGCAGGGTAGAGAATCGCGTACCAACAACTCGCTCAGAGAAGTATTTGGATTCGGAGAATGGACTTGCTGTCTCTGTTGTGTTGGGTCGCTTTATTCGCTCTGTATCCTCGCAGGTGTATCCACGCATACATGTGTGGAGAGTCTGCAAGTGCAGTTGATATTCTGAACATTGACCCAGCCATAGCTTACATTCGAGTGAATGGGAAACAATACTGAAGGTGATTCGGTGCAGCCTTCAATGACTCCTTCTTCCATGGTTCCAATCCCCTTGTCCATTCTGAGATAGTCTTACTAGCTACCTAGAACATTTCCTTAAAACGTAAAAATGGACCTACGGAACCATCCTTGTTCAGTCATCAAACCAAGCTAGATGACATATAGCAGTGACTGGAGGAGCAAACCCAGGAGTCAATTGCTCTGCCTTTCACATTGATGGGAACTATGAGAACTTTCTAAGTAGTTGTTCAGGTCGTAATTTTCTCTCAACCCAACGCCTCTGATTTGGGTGAATATCTGCAACCGTTCCATATGAATATTCCGATGATGGCAGAATTACTAGGTGCAGATGTCTACGCATTTGACTACTCTGGGTGAGTCCACTTGTCTGCATGTCTTCTGTGACTTTTTTGGAAAAATATGACGTTAAAACTTCACGATCACGAACAGATTTTTCAAAACTTGCCTGATAGGAAATATTACATTTCAGCTACGGCCTTTCGACAGGAAAGCCATCCGAAAAGAACATATATGCTGATATCAGATCCGTATATGATTTCGTAATTCAAACGCGACGTGATAAGAAGGTGGAGCAAAGTTACATGTTTGTTAAGAAAATTGAACTTTTGGAAGACGAATAGAAATGTAATCATAATGGGGCTTAGGAGATGGAAAAATAATTACATTGAAATCAATCACGTAGGCTTGCAATACTACATGCATCCCATTACGACTTAAGCCTACTACCCTCAGATCCATGAAGGCTGCCGGTCGATGTGTGCCTTGCATTATGATGAAAGACGAAAAACTTTGTATACTCTCACGCTTTTCACTGTAAATAGTGTCATAGTTGAATGAACAATCTATCATCATGCAAGCATGCGTTCATCATGTCAAGCGATGTGTTCCCTTTTCATGATTGATCATTACCTCAAACTTGAGGCGCACCTAGGAAGGCGTCTTAATGCTGGAAAGCTCCTTATCCCTTTGATATATTCATGAACGGTGCTTTCAAATATGCGATGTCGACATGTCACTCCCTACGCAAGATCCCTTCTTAACCAGTTTGAATGCTGTAATTTGTAATCGTGCTTTTTCCATATATATGTACCATATAGAAAAGCCCAGATCCAGAGCCATGTCCGTGCTGCTAATATGTATGCACACACAAATGTCTTCACATGAGCATCGCAATGCTCGAATTCTACCCGATCCCGTTATTACGCTTTTGTACTTTCAGATTGTGCTGCTTGGGTACAGTCTTGGTACAGCAGCTGTCACAGACCTGGCTGCTAGTGATCCTGCAAGAGTCGTAGGGGTCGTGCTTGTTGCACCATTTACAAGCGGCATTCGTCTTTTCAGTAACCAGCCTACAAGAAACGAAAGCAGCAAGCTCGACAGGTTTTTAATGTGAGTTCCAATTATAACAAGCACAGCTAAGACGGATCAGAGGCATTCCACTTTGGAGCCATTTCAGCTACGCAGTTTTATCCTCGGTTCTTCGTCTAACTCAGTTTTCCATATTTGAGCAGACTTGCTCTTTAAAAGTTTATTGCGCGAGGTCAACATGCATGTAATAGATTTACATATACTTGAAAGTATTCGAGTGATTGCAAGAGCACAGATCATGCGGTTCGAGTGGACGCTCTGACACTTGCGATACAGAGTTTGCGAAAGCTCGTTAGGGAACTTCGTCTTAAGTTTGACATTACTTGAACTTTGAATTTGTGGTGTCTAACGATTCCATACAGTTATCTACGGAACAAAGGAGAGGTAAGAGCCCAACGCTTAAATATGAAACATCAACTGCTACTCTGCTACAAAACATAGTTAGACATACCATTCATTATGACTCCGCAGAGCCGCCCTTGTACAACCGACCGAGTCGTCATTAACCATGCAGTGTTAGTTTTAGCGTTTGCAGGTGGAGAGTTCTTACGTGAAGTTAGGCTACATCCTGGTAGACCACCGAGAACAAAATTGCGCATTTACTCAGCAGGCGCTTGTTGAACACTTTCAACCGAATGCTACCGGAGAAGCTTCAAGTTGTAACAAATTTAAGTTGCATACAGTATAATATTGGGTTGTCCTCAAAGTATTTGCCATTTTTGAACACCCTCCGTTCTCAACTGTTGTTATTTTCTGGAAGGTTAGTTCTTCTTTACATTCTTGTCAGTAACCTCTCAACATTCCTTGATGTATTATTGTATAGGACTTGTGTGAAAGTTGAGGACCACCGCCTGCATTTCCAGCGTCCGATACTTTTCTTCTACCGCAAGGGCAAGAACTCGGCTGAGGCCGTGGGAAAATTTTTATGTTTAAGTAGACAATGCCATGCGGGAACATATAGTGCATGAGTTACTCGAATTTGAGTAGGGTGAGTTCACGCACGAAGATCGGCAACGCTCAGGGAGGCTATCATCACTTGAGAAGACCAAATCAAAATGTGAATCAAAATGAATCGGCGCATCACTAATCGCGAAGTAGGAGAAAGGCTTAATATTCCGAAATCAACCATCGATGATCATTTGTGTAGCGTGGTTTTGTTAAGCGCCTTGATGTTTGGGTACCCCACGAACTGAGTGAGCGCAATGTGATGGACAGCGCTTCCGTGTGCGACTGTTGCTTGAACGAAACAAAAATCGGGCAGTTTCTGAAGCTCATGTGGACGGATGACAAAGGGTGAGTCGGGTACAAGAACGTGTAGCGGGGACAACCGAAAAGTACCTGAGGAGTTTTTTCGATTCTAAGCCGCAATGGAAAAGGGACAATGAAATTCCCAGGAAGATGAACGGAAGACGAACCATTACAGAACAGAATTGACAATATATCGTTCCATGAACGGATTTGTTTTTCTAGAAATTTTAACTTGAATGTGACTCAAAAATCGGCTGTTACTTTTCGGAGAACTCTATATTTTTTCGTGTGTACAAAATGATTAACGCCGAACCACTGAGCGAGTTATTGCTGTTACGTATGTTCGTTCCCCTTCGNCGTGCCTTGCATTATGATGAAAGACGAAAAACTTTGTATCCTCTCACGCTTTTCACTGTAAATAGTGTCATAGTTGAANGGACTGCTAGGCTCGAGCCGACCTACCATCTTCGTTATATCATATCACTATCACTATAGTATCACTGCACGCCCAGCGCATTACACTCTTAGAAATNNCCGCTCACAGGTAGCGGAGGCGTGCGCAATAGAAATTTTAGACCACAAGTTTATAACTCCTATTTACGTGGACCTAGAGCGCTCAAATTCGGTAGGATTACACTTTTCGTATTGACAGTGGAACCTCGGCATTTCAATAAATGATGTAGGATATGACAGAATTGTAGGCACTCGGTGACAGGAAATGATAATATTAAATAAGAGAAGATAAGGGAGCTAAGAGGGGCCACCTACCGGTCAAAATCCTAACGTCTTCGGTGTTTACGATGTAGCTTCGACCGTTCAGTATGTTCCATTTGACACGACGGGATGCTAGAGTAGGGTGACAAAAGTGATTGGTAAGTGCAGCGATAGGGACCCCATTGACGGCCATACGATAAGCAGAGGAAAATTTAGTTAATTTTTTGCTATTAGATTACGACCGCTACCAACAAGCTTTGTAACTAGATGAGAATGCCCTCTGTTCGATATCATTTGCAACAAAACTTAATCGACCGCCAGTGATTTTGAAATCACAATTGATTATATTTCCGTAAAGAGAATGTCCATTGATGACGACATCTGGTTATGATGTTTTCACCGCTCGAAACGTTTGTAAGTACCGTCCAAGGCTTTGGTTGTCCAACAGTTGAATTTTTGATGGGTACTTATTTTAAGAAAGAGAGTGGAACAGGCTCTTCCAATCAAAGGCGTAAGCACCGGCTTCCACTGAATTCCATTTGCACTGCCCTATTAGTCCTGCGTCAAAGTTCGTGTACAGGAAACTATTATTAGTTTCAAAGAAGTAGTGAAAAGTCAGGCGATCACAACGACTTTGTCAAAGAAGAAGGGAAGTCCCGCACCAGCCAGGCGAACCGACTGGTTTCAACCTAAGCCATAATTTGTGTATATGCACTTTCACCCATCCTTTCATTTTAATAAACTTTTTCACACACAACCCCTCAGCCTACAACCCCTCCTCCCGGTCTTTTATAACATCCTTCAGAGAAGTTTCTTGAATAACGAGTGAAGGGACTATCACTGATCATCTTTTGTATGGCCTACTATTGAAAATTGAATGTGGGATATATCATCAGTTTGTTTGAATGGATTCCGGACGTCAAACGAGCACCTGAACGGTAGTAAGCTCAGTGATCAGAGTGATTTATGAAAGCTCTGAGCGAAAGTAATGCTGTTCCTCCTGTCCCTTGAGCGAGCACAATTCATTGAGATGCTCTAGCTTTTGACAGGGACAAATGAGAACGTTACTGGTGCCCTTTGAGAAAGTTAATGAGGAATAGCACGACATGCGGTACATTTGCCATCTGTCCTCTGCTCACAACTACTGCTGTAGTGTCCAGGGTCCTAAGTTTCAAAGCTATAAGGGAATGGCTGCTAAGATTTCATCCTATAAAATTTCAAGATTGACTTGTCCAGCCTTCCAACACGTATGCGAGTATGTATTGTTGAAGTATGGTGAAAGGGAATGGAATTGGCTCAAATTCAGGCCGGAGATCCCGGTGATCTAGGCGAGGGAAAAACCCCTGTAGATCCTCTTCCTTCTTTGGGTTTTTACCGTTTTCCGCGTGCTCTGACCTCAAATTAGATGCGAGGTTGGTACTGTTTTATTCGATAAAAACAACAACTTACGCACACACCATCCTTCGTGGGTTTTCTATTCTAACCGACACATTATCATCTAGAATTCATTGACGCCGTATGTATGTTCTACGCGTTGTGAACAAGCAACTTTCATTGTTCCAATCATCTCTGCTCATTTTCTCTCGAGACCTTGAACCGCGCTTCCAGCCTTTATTCAATGTCTTCACTTGCAGGAAAATCTTTGGACGTCGTTCTGATTCTAAATATTTCAGATTTGAAAAGGTGCATCGCATCAAAGTGCCGGTATTGGTATGTCACGGTTATCGTGACGATGCGATACCTGTTGAACATGGGCTGGAGATTCAAAGAAGATCCAAACGAGCCGTACCGCCACTAATTCTCCCTGAAGCCGACCATGTATCCATATTCAATGGGAAATTTCTTCACACGTACGTACGGATACGAGAGTGAGTAAAACATTGGTCATTATAACTTGATCGACATGTTGATGTCTTTGCTTATAGAAATTCGAAAGACGATGTGGTGGGGGGGAGGGATGAAAACGCGAGTATATCTCCAGCACCGTTCTTGATGTTTTTCTTGATGAGCAAGTGCGCCGTAGTTTCCAAATCTCATCCTAAAATAATTTTTTATTAGCCTCTGATTCTTAGCAGCGCCTTCTCAGAAATAACCCTAGGGAAGATGTTTGATTAATTTTTATACTTTTCTCGACAAAATGAGCGATGTCGGCCTGATGGCGCAGACCACAGCACAAACCATCACGGAAGAGGGGAAACTGTTACGAGCAACGATCTGACCCTTCTCGTCGGCTTTAGCACTCGTAGTGAGGAAAATACGTGTGCTCTCGAATCTAAACATTTCTTCCACTATGAACACCTTTTTGTCAGGAAAAAGTGTGTCGAAGCACGTGCCGCACGCAAGGAGAGCACGGTATTTGCGCCTCCTTTCAAACTTCCTCTCGTGAGAAGCTTATAAGACTCGCGAAACCAATCTGGATAAAATTGTATTTACTCGGAGGAGACTTTGCTTATCGAAGTAGAACATTCAGTTAAGTCTGTCAGTCTATGAGGAAGTATTGGATATGAAATGTGTTTCAGATTCTTAGCAAACGAAACTGGTCAGCCTACCTCGGTTTCTAGCGTGACATCAGATGAGGGCACAGGGAAGACGGCGAAATCGGAATAGTGCTTGAATAATACATTCAATCATTGGATCAAACAAACTCGTACTAATTGAAATAAACGGTTAAACATATTTTTGTGTTTCCCTCACTCAAAAGGTAGTTTGATATGACTATTTACAAATGTATGTATTTTGCTCAAGGTGTTATAGTTACTTTGAGCCACCGGTCTACTAGGGAAAAATCCGCTTTCAAGCAAGGTGTGCTGAGACCAGGTGAGCGATGAAGACTGCCTTACATCCTTCTATGCGTGCGACTTCAAGGACAATCACCTATTAGTGCTTGTCACGACCCCCTCCCCCGCCCTCCCCCAAATCCCGACGAATCCGTATACCACCCTACTTCACTCTTCAAATTACCGAGTTTCCTTTAGCGAAGCGGAACGGTGAAACAATATGAAACAAGCTTTCCTTCAACATACATAAATGTAGGCCGTTAGTCGATGTGCTTAGAGCAATAGTAATCGGGATTGTATTTCACTATAATATCGGCACGAAAAAAGTGATTCTTTATTGTATTGCAAATTTTGATGCGTCAATGATTGACAAGGAATATACCGAATTCAATCATTCTCATTCTCTCTATATGGCACTGAACACCATATTTTATCAGCCTATTTTGATACTATTATACATTGTGTGGGCCATACTGAAATATAATACATACACGTCGCATACTCCTTCGTATAAAGAGTTTAAGGGACTATAATGAAAGGGCCATGTCTATTAATGTCTCTTGTCAGGCTTCGTAAGCTAATATCTTATCCGCAAGCGGTTATCGACCCATCCACATTTTACATCAAACAGTGGAGTTGAAGGGGTGCTCCGCTGAAATTTTTTGGACACATCCGATTAAATGCATTGCTAGGGAGATCATGCTACAAGATGAGCGTACTATGGGACTGCTAGGCTCGAGCCGACCTACCATCTTCGTTATCCGGTATCACTGCACGCCCAGCGCATTACACTCTTAGAAATTTCTGACCAAACATTCCCGATGAAAGAGGTTTTGAGAAGTAAAGTTCCATGAATCCTATAGCTTCACACTCAAAAGTGGGGTTCTGCGCTTCTCCCTTATCTTCTCTTTTCTCGTTCCTTCGTTTTCTTCTTCTACTACTACTACCACTATTTCTACTTTCTTGAATGCAGATATAGATGAAAGAATAAATGTCACCGATAAAGTGTGTGCTTTATCAAGACCGTCCTCCTATCCATCACAATATCATGACTCCGGTTGCCCTCGGTGCCTTTTTATCAGCTCTCATACGAATGTATGTCGGGCCGGTCAGCTAATATCAGCACTGAATCGTTAAGTTGTCAGCTCTTCTTGCCGCAGTACGAGATCCGTAAGCCTCACAAGGTTGATCCATGCCTCGCCAACCTTGTGAGAATTCCGAATCGTGTACTGTTGCGAAATAGCAGCAGTTGAAACATCGAGTCAAAATATAGATGTGTTCCAATGTTATATTGACCTTTGAAGGCGGTTTGAACATTCTTGGAGTCTGTGCGGTGTTGTGATGTATGTGAAGCCTTGTGAGGTTTATTGTGGCGAAACGAAGATGTGAGAGAGGGACAAGACGGATCTCAAAGTCCCAGGAATGTGTCCCGTCACATATACGACGCAACGAAAAGGTACTCTAGCTGAGGCCCACGGGGTTGGTTGTGGGACACTAGGGGGTTGCCGTATCACACGTTCGCGGGACTCAAAACCCCTCTACTGTGATAGGGTAGTTCGGCCCAGGTGACCAAAACGGCCAAGATGACGCGATTTCTCCGATGTTGTGATGTGTCACCGAATCGACCAATGGGGTTGCGTCGATGGAATGTCACAATATCTCTTCCTCGAGGGAGAGATGCAACAGCGGTACAGTGCATATTTCCTCGAGAATCTTCTCAAACGTTGAGAAAAAAGTCTCCGGTTCGATTATGAGAGCTTTGACTATGATACTTTAAAAGAGCGCGGTTGTAGTCTATTCAGGTGTCTGAAGAACTGGAGAGGTTGAGAAAAGTAAAACGTTCAGTTCTCATTGATTCGTTCCTTTTTGTATTTCCATTTCAAATTAGTTGCATCGAACGGCATCTCCCGGGATTAACTGTTCCCTTCTACAAAGTAGGATTGTAAACTTATTCTCTCCATTACTCTTGTTGGGACGGTCGCTTGATTCTACGCGGATATTCAAATTCTAGACGGGGCGGTCGCTCATGATTAGAAGATCATCTTTTCCCGTCTGTGCACGTGACACAGCTACGTTCTAAATTAACCAGTTGGGCTACGCACGCTAATGCGTGCGTAGCCCGCTACCGCTTACCTACGACTTGTTATAGAACCAATATGAACAGTATCGGTGGACTTCCCATTTCACAACTGTTTCCTCACCGCACTCACTTGACATTCACCTTCTTCGTCGTGCCTACGTGACTTTAGGAAGGACGCACAAACGGGCATGCAAAAAGACACACAAAATTACCGCTTTATATATAGAGACAGCCACACCGGGCTCCCCTCCTTATGATAAACGGCAAACTGCACAATCCTCTTTTGGAACGATCTATACCTTTCGGAACACGAAATTCAGTAGAGGAACAATAGGGCATGCAAACGATATTCAAAATGTGCCGATGCCTATGCCTTTGATTAGGATCTGTCTGTCTTGATCTGTCGCTGTTGATGTTAAAAACAATGATCCATTGAAGATTCAACTGGTAGGCATTCAAAGCCTTGAATG